CCTTAGTAATTAGGCTCCACGGCTGTGGTAGTAGTGTAACACCTGGTTTTTGTAGCAATTAGGCTGCAGTAGCAGTATGAGAACCTTGATAATTAGGTTTTACGGCTGCAGTAGCAGTATAAAGACCTTGTTTTAGGCTCCATAGCTACTGTAGTAGTGCATAGACTTTCAATAAATGGGTTGCAGGCTCCGTGGCTGAAATAACAGTACTGTGTATTTAAAAAACCAGTTTACTTCTAGTCACCATAACTCAATCCTGTATATACCTGAGTACTCACATGCATATGTATAACTTTACTGATACCGATCATACTGGTCCTGCGTGGCACCGCATGCTGCGCAGCTATCTTATTGAATAAAGGTATGTGACCAAGAAATCACTTTAATATCGAGAAAAAAAAAAAATCAAATAAAAAAAAATCAAATATTAATATTATACTCTGAACAGTTTATATTGTTCTTTGTCCATATCTTCGAGAATCATACAGGGTTTTCTTGAATAACTAATAGAAGGTTCAGGAGAAACTGAACTAGCTATCCACAAAGCTCTCTTGTCTCTTCTGTTTATATCAACACCAAGTTGCCCAGAGTCATTGTTCAAAGATTGTTGCGATAATGCTTTCAACTCATTTAATTTAGCAGCAAGTAATAAAACTTTTACTAAAGTTTAGCAAATTCTATGCTCAAATATATATAGTTAGACTTATAATCAATATTATTAAATTTACAGATATATACTTTTTTTTGTCGTATCTTCATGTTGACAATAAGGTCTAGGAGAAGCAGAATGACAAAGCGAATGATGAGAATTAGAATAACTATAAGAAGAGTGAGATGAAGCAGAACAATGAAGAGAATAATGAGAACTAGAATGACGAAGGGAATGATAATGAGAAATAGAACAATAGAGAGAATAGTGAGAAGCAAAGCAAAAAGAGAATTTTGAGAAGAATCGGAGCAATGAAAAGAATAGTGAGAGGATTCAAAAGAATGACCAGGAGAACAAGAATGACTACGAGAGTGATGAGGAGAGGGAGAACAACCATGAGAATGATGAAGGAAAGAAGAATAATTAGAACGATTAGAATAATAAAATCGATATTTATGATGATTTAAAGTTATAGTGTCTCTGTGAGAATCACAAGAGTGATGACTGTATATAAAAACAACATTTCTATAAGTTTGATATGGTATTCGGTGGCGAGAAAACATAGTGTAAAGTGGTGTTTAGGAGTTGATTTAATGTGAAAAAGCTTTCAATCAATCTATTTAAACCTTTAAATATAAAAAAAATTAATTAAAGCGAAACTCATATAAAAAAAAAATTTTGCTTTGCATGATTTTTACCTTTAGTGATGAATTTTTCTTATAGATAAAAAGTAGAAACATGTTAATACACATATAAAAATAATGATTTATTTATACATTTTCAGAAGCATCACAATAGATAACGCATTAGCATCAAAATTAAATTATTTTATCTACTATTAGACTCTATGATGTGTTTTTTGCTAAACATCACCTTTCTATAATATTGTAGAATTATGGATATATGAATTGCAATATAATATATATAAAAGTTCACTATTGAATTGTTGAATCTCTAAATTTTGAATATTTAAAACAAAGAATTTTATTAATTTTCTTTAGTTACTTATTAGAATGTATTATGATATATATCAATTAGTTTTTGTTCAGATTATAACACAGCACCTCCAATTCATTGATAGTTTTACCAGATTTCTAGAGAATTGATTTAGAAAATATTAGTGATTTATAATAAGAAATATCAATAATATTTCATGTATACATATTTATGCGTATAATATACTATTAAAATCATGTTTTTTGTCTATCATGCGATATCAAAAAAATAATTTGAGAAATCATACGTATTCATGCACATAATATATTATCAAAATCATACTTTTTGTTTATCATGTGATATCATGAAAATAATTTGAGAAATTATATATTTGTGATCGAATCATAATCTGAATTAAATAAAAAAGCTGATTAAAGCTCCAAATAGAAGCTAACGAACAAAAATAAAGAGAACTATATAAAAAAAGAATTCTATAATATTTAGATTGTAAATTATAAAACATATTAGTAACTAGTGACTACTATGCCCAAGCCAATAGAAAAATATATAAAAAGTACATACCAAATTCATTCTATTTAATTGTCAGAAATGCAAATCTTATATCTTATTTATAAGTTTGTCTAACATATCAAAAAAGAGATTAAAAATATAAAAAGACAATATACTGATAAGTATATAACATATTTCTAATTTAATTATTTTATTAAAAAATAATTGATTAATTTTCTTGATCTATTATGGGTCGCAAATCAAAA